ACCTTTTGGAAATTTTACTCATCCAAACGCCTATATTTCTACCACAATTAAAGGTAGCTTCTTAACTGTTTAACTAGGTTTTTGAACTTTTGGAAATCAATAAAGTTACTGAGGGTATTTACCCGTCGACCGAACATTCACGATTTACTGCAGTGAATCAAAGCGTTTATTATCTCCGTTTCTTATCAGTCGCCACAGTCTGTAAATATTTATAAGACACTTGTATCAAGTGGCGGTAAATAAAAATTAAAGGTTGACAGCAACATCGCCTATCGGCTGTTAAATTCCTTATCATCGCCATTGCGAAGCAATTACACTTTACTATGTATGTTCTGTTGAGTAATTAATATTATTAGTCATTAGTCTGTAGTTTGCTTTATGTTCCAAAGAATGTGCAGCGATTTGTCTGGCTTCTGTTTTGGAGCTGTGCATTTTTGGCTTATCAATCAAAGTCTCTCACTGAATGTACTTGTATTTTGTAAATTCATAATGCCCGATACCACAAGCAAGCGTTATTTGAGCAACATTGCAGATGCAAGAAAAATATGAAAGCACTAAATTAGAGCTGTCAGTGCAAGCTTAAGTGCACTCGGAGAAAATACTGTATTTTCTTTTTTCTTATTAATTTATGCATGGTCTTTATTTAATTTAAGAAATATTGGAACTCTACAAGTAGTTTTGCCAATGTCCAGCCTAGTAACATCTTATCAATGCGCATAGGCTTGTCTCACTGAAGAATGCAGAAAAATGCTTTCAATATCGAATATCAAATCATTCCCCAAGCTGATCTACAATACCCGCCAACATTAGAGACTAGTGTCTATGTGGGGCTGGCATTTAACTGATAAGATATATTTTTTATTGCAAAAGTATTTAGATTTATTCATGGACTAATCATCTGATAAAATATTAAATTGAAATAAAATATTTTAGAAAAGTATGCTGCTATAGATTTTCCCATATCTTTTCCTCTCTTTATCTTTATCATTCTTATAGACACAAAGTTTCTATTCATGCTTACAAAGTATAGCATTTTTTTGAAAAAGAAAAAGATTCATTTTAAATAATTTTCATTTTTTTTTTAAATAGTTTCAATCTTGTGCTGTTTTCTTCCAGCGAATGCTTGGTTGTCAGCATACAAAGCGTTTGACATTAGTTAAGATTCAATGCTTGCTTGACCGTTTTCTTTTAGCTTTTGTTTTAGTTTTGGTTTGGTTTTGTTGGTGCCGCTAAAAACGTGTCAAACGGCCAATATAGTATAGAGGAGAATAGTTAGAGCTCTTTTGGCCAGCACAATGTCCAAGTGCAGCCATACAAGAGCTGTGCCGTCGTCATCATCCACATCATTAACAATGGGTGCTAAATAGCTTGAATAGCTTGGCGCTTGTTGGCGCCAGCACTGGATACAAAGTTCACAATGTGGACTGAAAATGAATGTTTAGAAGAGCCGAAGGAAATGAAAGAAATACAAAAAATAAAGAGAAACGTTTTAAATGCCGTGCAAGGTCTTGTTGTCTTTTTGGTTCAAATGCTGATTTGATTTTTGCCACGTACTCGCCTGCTCAACAAAATTGAATTCTATATTGCACATTACTCGTGTTGGGGGAGTCTTACATAAGCCGTTGCGTACCTGGTTTTTTTGTATATATATATAAGTGGGAAACAACCAAGAATATATCACGCCACCACGTAGTACCACTCAGGTTTCATGATTCACTCCAGTTTCTTTGGGGAGCACTGATAAAGCGACGACCAAACGGCGTCTGTATCATTATTATTGCTACTTAGTTATGTATGACATAGCCCTCCACACCACGAGCATTTTTTATTTTTAAGATATGGCAAATTGTAGACTGACCTGGTTGTGTCTACGTGATCGACTCCACACCCAGTCGATCGTCCAATTGTTGACCACACTACTAATTATGTTATGCGTCAATATTAATTAGATTTCGGTTTTTGTGGCACTTATACCAAAGGCACTGGCAAAAAGGAAGTGATTAATTCTCACTAAATATCTAATGTTTGCAATTTATTTATAACATTATCTTATATGACGAACATTGACGAATAAAAATCGGTGCATGTGAAACGTGAAAAAATTTGAACACTGAAAGTTGGCAAATGCATTTAGTATAAAAAATATAGCGGCAGAACTATATTGTTATTATTGTTGTTATCGATACGAAGTAGTTATTTTTGAAAAACCAATGGCTCATAGATAAGTTGCTTTTATTTCACAACTGTTTGTGCAATATTTTATAGAAACGGGAATCCCAGTAAATGTATAAATTGCATAGAAGAAAAAAACACATATTGCTAATTCCTTTAGTTATAAACGATATAAATATTCAACTCACACTTAAGGTGTTCAAAAGTCCTTTTAGAAGCGGCTGTTTGCAATCGAAAGCGTTAACTAAAAGAAGTACAAGCGTGAAATTAGTTGTACAAGTCACAGTAGAGATAGATATCTTCGATCATTTTAAAAACTAGGACACCGTAATATTAATTTAAAATATTTAATATTTCTTGTGGCATTTACAAGGCGTATCTTAAAGTAAATAGTACATTTTTAAAATAAAAGAACACCATTTATATTGATTGATTTTTTTTTTTTAAATTATGTCCTTCTGACCTTTTTACATGAGTAAGAAGTATTTCGAAAATGTGCCAAATGTGCCAAATCAAGCACACAGGTACATCAACATAAAACATAGATTAACCGTTAGGCCAGGTGTAACAAATTAGAATCGTAGAAACAATTTTGTGTTTACTTTTACTTTGAAAAATCCTCACTACTTTACATCCTGATTAGATTCCCTTTCCTTTTTTTTCCAAATTACAAAATTGATAAAATTTAATCTTAAATATTACTATTATTAAACTTGAGACTTAAATTGTCTTTTTAAACAGCAACCAGTATTTAAAAAAAATATATAATTTTTTTTTTAGTTCAAGATTGACGTTAAATATCAAAAAAGTATTATCAGCTGCAATTGCTATTTTATTTTATTTTATTTTTTCAAGCTAAAATATTATATTTCAATTTAAATTTATTCACTTTACATTTGAGGTAAAGATATCTCAATTTTAAGAGTAGAGGCAACTTAACCTTTTCTACTTATTGAACAAAATGGAGAAATAAAACAATTCCATGAAAGTATTGTGACTTAATCCGAACTTAAACACAAAATATATATTTTTGATTTCCAATTCATTTATTTATTCGTTTCCATGAGCGCAAAGGTTCAAAACTGACCTGACATTTTCGTATTATTATGTGTTTTAAATTTTTAGAGACCCTAGCGATATGGCAAAACATATTTTAGTTGTATTTATTACAAAAATGTGAAACAAAAGAATGAAAAAATCCGAAAACGCTCTTTCTAAATTCAATAACATTTTCTATTTCTCTTTTAACTAAAGCGATTCGGCTTTGTTGCTCCCGTGGAAGCTCTTGGGCAAAAGTTTGCGCACAAACTGAGACGAGCAAACTTATTTACTTCTAAATTACGTGTCCTCAAAGTTTGCAGCAACATTATAAATTGTAGATGCACGTATTGCTTTCTATCTTAGATGAAATGTCGTCTGCCGACATCGACATCAACATCTACGCTAACACCTACACTAATACCAATACCAATACCAACACCAACACCAACTAGGACCAGCAACGACTGCGCCATAAACAGGCGCATATCCTTGCTCGCTCATCAGCGAGAACGTAATTACATTTTCCCGACTCATGACAGTTTTGCATACCAAAGGTGATGGCGTCGCTGACGCCTGTGCTACACCTATTATGATTATTAACGAGGCACTGTTGGCAAGTCAACGAGCGGCATTGTCAGCGCCTTCTGCCTGAGATACAAACGCACGTGCAACGCTTGTTGCCACAACAATACTACGGGTATGCTTTGCTATGCCGTGGACGGCTGATGTCATTTCCTGCGTAGTGCGATTATCACTATAGTAGTATTAGTACTGTGTACTCCGGAATAAGAGGTATTTATGGCTCATTATTCTGATATTGTGCAAAACCATACCATTTATAACTTTTGCTTCATGTTTTCAAATATTTTTCCTTTATATATATATTTACAAGCAAATATATATATATACAAGAAGGAGGAGTGGTGAGGACGTAGTTGGCCCTCCAGGCATTAAAAAACATGCCACTTTACGAAGATTCTAGGACTTGCATCCTTTTCAATCAGAGTGTTTTTATCTTAGAATATTGGGAGAAGTACAACTGATAGAGTTGTTTGTGATCATATTTTTATTTTTATCAGCAATCGGAACCATTAAAATGATGTGTCAATTGCAAAGATGATAAGGAATTTTGTAGGGAATTTGTTTCAACTTGGGTTGCATTATTGGAATTTTAGTAATTTTAGTTTTTTTCTGCAAATATAATACGTAGCCTATATCACTCGGGGATAGTGTAGCTTCCCAACAGTGAAAGAATTCTTTAAATCGGTCCAGTAGTTTCGCAGCTTATTCAATCCAAGCAAACAAATAATCAAATCTTTCCTCTCTATAACACTTATTAGTATAAATGACTCCAATACTTTGTGGTTATGACGTGCTGTTCTAAGACTCAAAACTAAATTCAAAAGCCTTCGCATTATAGAAACTATTTTAAGTATTTCCTCTAGCTCTTAGGGTACATTTGACCTGATTATATTCCAAAAAAAAAAGTCGTACATAGCCCTCGACTCTCTCTGTATTACTATTGAAGTAAAAATTTGATCTTTATCGTACAAAAGCGTTTCTTGTCGTCTCATTATGTTTTTCAGCTGAGAGCACTATGAACACGGCACGTGACGAAGTCAACAATGCCAAGCCCTACGGATTACTGATAAAACAAATTAGTCAGCTTCAGTGAAAAACAATGATATAGAAATGTGGGCTTTTGCTTATCAGTATCGGGGTGATCGCATAAATATGCGAGCGGCCGACTGCTGTGCAGTTCAGTCTTTAAACTATATCCAGTGAATAACAAGTGTTCGTCGGGTGTTACAAATTTTAAAAAAAAAATGAGTGATGTAAGAAAGAAAATAATTAAAAAATTTAATTCGTATTGTGCACATTCTTTGTTTCTCACTAACAAGAGTATTGCTCGCGGCAATTGCTCGTAAAATAACTCACAGCCAAGAATTTTTCAAAACTACAAGTATTTAATAGAAAGTGTGTGCTGAAAAGAAAAAATGCAACGAATATTACTTTGCAGAAACGATTGCTCTTTAGTCGACGTTAAAACTGTTTAATGCCTAATTGGCAATGTTTTAGTGGCATTTTTATTAAGCACACAAGCACAAAGCGTAACAAATAATTAAGCATTGAATTTTGCTTTTTTTTATAATTTTTATTTTTTTTTATTTTAACAAATTAAATCTAGTATCTGATACTAAACTTAATATTAGAATAACGAGTACTAGCTACTCGGACCTTCGACTCTTTTAATAATTTAAAATCAATGTCTTTTTTGTAAGACTTCAATTTCCAGAGACAAGTTCGCACGGGAGGTGCTTGACGCTCACAATGCATATCGCAAGGATCACGGCGCTCCTCCATTACGATTGAATCAGGAAGTATCAAAAATCGCCACCCAATGGGCAGAGGTAAGTCAGAAATCGTCACATTACAGCCCCATTTAAGTAGTAACCACTATTACTATTAAATTCTAGCATTTGTTGAGTAACAACACAATGCAACATCGACCAAACAACCGTTATGGTGAAAACATTTATTGGGCCTCGGGTGGTAACCTCACCGGTACCGATGCTGTTCGATCCTGGTACAACGAAATCAATCAGTATAGCTGGCGTCGTCCTTCGTTTCAAACGAAGACGGGCCATTTCACTCAAGTGGTTTGGAAGGCTTCCAGAGAACTAGGCGTTGGTTTTGCCAGGCGGTGAGTAACACTTTAAATGCGCCCAAAGGAGTTCTAAACGTATCTTTTGTTGCAGTGGAAACACCATTTATGTGGTTTGCAACTATGACCCACCGGGCAACTATGCAAATATGTTTCAACAAAATGTGGCACCCAGAGCTGGTTAGGAAGTAACTCCCGCCTATGTAGATTTAAGTTCCAGTGCTAAGACCAAAAATGACAAACACCACCCAAAGAAGCCAACACACATGTGATATTCCATTCCATTTACATTTAATATTTTAATGTTGTTAATTGAAAACTAAATGTTGTCGCTACAACCGACAAACATATTGAGACCATTTAGTTTATGAATGAGAGAAAACATGTTTTATTTATACAGATATTCATTATATTAATGGAAGAAATTTTTCTGTTATAAAAGATCCGTTTAAAAAATTGTTAAATATGAAGGAAACGCTTCGTGTATTTCTAATGCACATCTTTATAAATATTATCCTTGACCATACCAGAAATTTTGCGGGTCGGCCTTGTCTATCATAAACGAATAGGGTCAATTTTAAATTTGTTAAATAAACCAAATATATGCACGCAAACGAATATTATATACCGTTTTTTTACAATAATAATTTAAAGTAATATTAATCCTATTAATTTAAGAATGTTGCTTTATAGATATTCATGTTTGAATTACAACTTAGATACATGCTTCTTCGATGAGCGACTTCTGATTCTTTTAATGGCTTTATCCTTTATCCCTGCTTCAAGGATGGACTCTTGACTCCTGACCACCAACTTCTGCTTCGGCTTACGACTTGCTAACGATTTCTAACTGACTATTTACTACAGCTAAGTACATTTACCAATGAATACTTTACACAATTAAGTACTGAGTGTTGCCTTTCTGTCCAGCCTACTTTAAAAGGTGTTTTAGATAGTTTTCCCTATTTATGAACATTTCTTTGTCTCCTCCATACAATATATGCGCTTGATCTAATAACGAATGCAAGAAAGCTGGGAATAGAGCCACTATTCTACATAACAAAATTAAATCTGTTAAAATTTCCCCAATTTAAGACCTTTAAGGTATTTTCAATACATTTTTTGTCATTTTATTTTGTGTACGGCCAACCAATATATTTCGACTTTTAAATACGCCTTTCTAACTAATTAGAGCTTAGATTTTATCAGCACCTTAAAAACTGTTATTATGTGTATACAACACGAAAATGAAAGAGTTGAGAGCAGTGGCAACTACAAGATATGACTAAACTGATATCAATTAAGTTAATGCTACTGCTAAAAGACGATATATATAGTATATATAAAGCACATGCGATTATGATTATGTGTGTCTGATAACGTTAGACAAGCTGTATTGCGTGACACATTCATTATTCACTTTTCACAACCATTCATCAGGTTGTTAGTCAAATGTAGAGAGTGTGGAACACCGTTCATTCAATGGCCTGTAGAGTGAAGATATATCTGTTTATCCTGTTAGGCGCCCTGCCTTTGGTGAGTAGGTCTTTAGAGTATTTCAAAAGTTATACCATTGAGTGGTTAAATGTTTTAGGTGTCTCCACAAATACATACCCTGTCCGATTTCAAGCCAGAAACTCTAAAAATGCATAACAAATATCGAGAAATACACCATGTGCCACCGCTAACAACTTCTCATTATCTGACAAAGATTGCGCAAGCCTGGGCCCGAGTAAGTATTTGGACAAATATACTTAAATAGTTAAAAAGAAATCAGCGCTTCCTTTAGGTAATTGGCACAAAAAATACTCTCCTACATCCGGTTTACAAACGCTCCTATAGATTTAATCTGGCCAAAACGGCACTACCATTGAACCCGCTGGCCACAATAGAGGCATGGTATAGGGAACGCTCACTCTACAACTATGCCAAGGGAGTCTTTTCGTACAGATATCATCATTTCACGAAAATGGTTTGGCGCTCTTCCAAATATATTGGAATAGGCCTGACACGCAAGTCAGTATTCTCGATTGAATTACCAATTTAGTTGTGGCTTAGAAGCTTTCATCTTTATTGCAGAGGTGACCTTATTTTTATTGTTGTTGCATATGAGCCGGGCGGCAATATCGATGGTGAGTACCGAAAGAATGTGTTTAGTCCACACGAAACGTATGTCGTAAAAGATGTGAGAGCTAGTCCCCATAATGAAACCATATTGGAAAAGGAGCATCAACTTAATATGAATGAGACGTTGGCTTTATTAAAGGATTTTGCGGACGTGCGTCAATTACTTTATGCTTAAAGTAGAATTAAAATACGTCTGATATGACATCTAAAATATTTTGTATTCTAAACACTAGTTGTGCAATTTTTTACTTCAGCTGCGACAATATGCGAAATAAATAGCTTGCACTAAAAATCCTGAGATCCTAAAAAAAAGCTTAACATTATGCATTTGTAATATTAAGTGAACTCATTACTTAAACAAATATGCTGTTGGCTTAAAATTAATAGTTTTTAGATAGTTATAGATAGTTATTTTGGAAATTTTCATACAGGATCTGCAAGGGCTAAGTTCTACTTACTAGAGATGAGCGCGATTAATTCAAACTTACCTGTAAGTAGGGGTGTTCGATAAATTAGAAGATGCACGATAAAAGTGCAGCCATTTATTGAACTCCTGCTTGCGCTCACGCCCATCCCTAATTCCATAATCCTTGCTTTTTGATTCCCATTACCATTTTCATTAATTCGAATCTAGCTGGGATAAATCAGGTTTTAAGTCTAGTTGCTCTTGAAAAGTGCTTGAGATTATTGTTTAGGAATAGAATAGTTTAATAAGTAGTTCTCTCTGGCGTGAGTCATTCCTCGATGGTGCAAAGTGTGTGTCGCGTGCGTGAGCGTGACCGAATACTGTGATTTGTGCAGCTCTCCATATTAGCCTTCACCTGCACCTGCACATGTCCCGCTGATCCATTCTCTTGGCGCACCTTGGCCTGTCGATGCTTCGGTGGATGCACATAGACATTGGCCACGCGCAGCTTACGATATAGCGATATATATTTGCCAGCCGTTGTCGTTCTAGGAACTATATACTGCTCACAGAAGCTGGTCTTGCTGCGGGCCGCCTCGCTGAGCTGTGCGTGGCCCAGCGCCTGCAGAAAGGCCAGCACAAAGGTGTAACAATTGTGACTGACCTCCTCGTATCGGGCAATGGACCAATGCGTTGTCTGGGCGCAAATCTATTTGTGCAAAATGGGGTCTTAGCGCTTTGCATGCATTTCGGAGCGAGAGCTTTATTGGAGGTGGCACTTACCTGCTGCAATACCTCGTCCCAGTAGTCGTGCCAGGGCTCGGGCACATCGCCGACCAGCAGCGATTGCCACCACTCGGCCGGATTATCTTCACGTCGATGGCGCTGGAGTCCGTCCCGATCGAATTCAACGATGTCGCCTGCGGATGTGGTCACAGCGATATGCAAATCGGTGGCGTTGTTGTAATCGCTGCGGAAATACACGCCATGAAAAAATAAAACACAACAGAAGCTGCACTCTCTCTCTGCATATATAGAAACAGGCGCTTCACAATTGGGGGCGGATTTGTTAATATTTGACCAGAATTTGTCGAGTCTGCTTTAAAGCGCAGTGAGCGGTCAAAAAATGCAAAATGTATTCCCACCAATCCAACCCAACCCAAACCATTACTCACTTGAGAAAGTCGCCGGTCGAGGGTCGTAGAACAATCGCGCACGGATACTGTGTGGCTCGTACGAAAGGGTAAGGCAGTCGAAATGGCAGCAGCCTTGTGTCCACTCTGGCGGTTGTTTTGGTTCTTGTTGCTGTTGTTGTTTCTGTTGTAGCTTTGTCTGGACCGGTACTGCTACTGGTACCGGTGCCGGTGCCGGGGCCGGTGTCGGTGCCCGTCCCTGTGTCTGTGTCGGCATCAAGTTGCGCATTGCATTGGGGACAAGTGTGCGGCAAAGTGAAGCAGAAAACTTTTACGTTGCAGTGATGAAAGCACAGGATGCCCGGATCTGAGGTAATTGTGGCTGTGAGCCCGGTCGCCAACATGGCTGCCACTTGCACTGGCCACAGGTCGGTTGGGTCGTTAGCCTTCCACCCGTATTATAATTGATACACTTTGTTTATTGTACACGTCCTCCTCGTTCTCGGACTGCTTGAGGCTTAGGCTGTCTGGAATGAAACGTGGAATTCTGGTAAATAAGCCCGCAAGCATATGGGTAAGACTCCTTAAATGGCTAGCTGTACACTGTCAAATTTCTGTGGTCGCCATTGTGATGGGATTCAAGTACGTTCGAGCTTTGACTTTAAAAAGTCCAACTGTCGTCGACATATTGGGGCTTAACAATTGGTAGAGCCAATTAGGAGAGTCCATTGCTTAATGCAGGCTAGATGGTACTTTTAATTACAGATTTAATGAACAACTAAGAAGTTCAGCTAAACTTCTCACATTGTAACAATATAACGCTGGAGGGTAAAGAGGTGCAAAGAGGTTTGTGAAGAGTATACCAGTCGGAAGCATCTCTAACCCCATAAGGTATATAAGTATTTTTAATTATTATGACGAGAGAAATAGATCTAAACTAAGATCTACTACTCCCGCAAACTGCAAGAGTGGGTTCGCCCTTCTTCTTCTTTTTTTTTTTGTCTGCGGCGGAAGTTTGTTTAAGTACAGGGTTGGCCTTGTTCAACTGTAGCCTTATCTCTTGTTTATATATACTTGTGTGTGGGAATTAGCAGTTCCAATCTCCTATAAAAGAGACGTTAAAGACAATTCTGATTCATTTAAATCATGTCTCCATGCCGCTACCAAGAGACTGCAGATAATCCATTTATAACTACTTACTATCTAGCTATCCTCTGAAAATTCCTCCTCCCGAAAAATTGCTGGCCTTTTTTAAAACGAAGACTGGGTAAGAATCAAAATCAACTACCTGACTATTCACTTTTCTGTGTATTTTAATTACGCCTAAAATCAATTTCTGCAATATCCTGACGATCTCATCTTTTAAAACTATTAATTTTTGATGTTAACGAATGAATACTTTAAAAATGTCACTCAGTTTCGAATTAGGAACAGGTTCTAAATCAGAAAGAGATTAAAACCTCAGTCTGTTTCGAATTACAAATTAGATTAGATTAGATTAGTACATATGTATAAGTATATCGGATTTGATGAATTGTTAAAAGCCTTTTCTTAGCATTTTGTTTATTGTCTTAAAATGAGACGGTGACATGAACTAAGAGTACATTGAAAACCAGTAATCAAAAATTAAGGGAAAGTTCATCAGTAGATGCTGAAAATACTGGCAGAACAAGAAAATAATTTCGATCCACAATAATTTTAGATTTCCATAGCATGGTATGTAAGGCATAGATTATGTCAAAATTTTACATTTTCAAAATTCGTTTTGTTCAACAGCCTTAAAATAATAAACAAGTGTACCAATCACTAAAATATTTACGTCTAATATAATACATCAAGTTGCAAATTAATCACTAAATAGCATTAATTTAAATATTTTCATTTGGCAATCGATTCCCCCGACACATTAACATGTCAATCTGTTGCCCGAGTGGCAATTGAAAAATGGAATGCCTTAATCAAATAAAAGCAAACCAAATCCATTAAAAATAAGCCGAATCCCCAGAGAGATAGAAGGAGAGAGAGAGAGAGGGACAGAGAAGGCGCGAAAGAGTGCGTGGCATGGGCAGCAGAAAATCATATGATTTAAGCTCGTCAGCAAAAAAGAAAAAACGAAAAACGGAAAGACAAAAATGTGGAAAGCCGGTAAACCAAAGCAGGCCAACACAAAACGTAAACAAACCGGCAAAATGAAAATGCCAAACAGGCTGATGGAAGGCGCATGCTCACCAGAGCGACAAAAACGACACCGTCGGCACTTTTTGGCCATTTTCAGGCGAATTGCCCAAAACAAAAGTGCAGACGAGCAGAGGAAAAGCGAGAGCGCCAGAGAGAGCGGAAAACTCTGTTGCAATGGCGTGTTGAAAATGTGTCTTTGAATTTCCCTCGTGTGGGGAAAACTAACGCGTTAATAATGCCTTCGGCTGCGCTCGTCGGCCAGTTGCAGCAGTTGATGGCGAGCTGTGCGAGCAGACGGTCGTGTTGAATTGAACAGCTGGCCGAACACTGAACATAAGTTGTCCATTATCCTGGCCAAGTGCATTGAGCAGCTAAAGAAGCCAGTTAGTTGCTATCAGTGTTTCAGAAACGCAGTCGTGTGAACATAATTCAAGTGCAATGCAGCTTAAAAAATTAAAGCTAAACATACAAAAATAGTTCATATCCGAGATTTTTTCAAAACACACACTCGGTCGCTTAGTGACGTGAACAGTTTCTATTTGGTGTGCTTGCGGTTGTGTTGTCCTTTCAACGCCTTGTGTTTTAGTTTGTGCGGTTTTGGCCACTTCAAGTGGTAAGTGGCAAGTGTTTGGTGCGCGCGCTGCCACACACACACACATAACATACGTTATACAAATACTCGAATATATTCACACCCCTAGCTTAAATAACTCGACGGGTTTTTTCTTGTTTGCCTTGGTTTGTTTTCGTTTGGCTGCCCTGTGGCTTTCCACAATCAACAGTGAGGACGTTGCGTGGCAACGCCACTTGCCGTTGGCATTCTGCTAATCGATGACGTTGAAAAGGATAACACAAGGATAATGACCTAAACTATTCGGTATGTCTACACACACTCATATAGTCTAAGCAAATATTTACACTCTGACAACCGATAAAACTCAACTTAATTTAACACCATATGTGAGCCTTGAATACCACATTGAATATCCTGGCAGCACAGCACACCCTACACCCACATTTTGTCTGTGTCTGACAAAATGTGCTTAGCTGATAAGTGTGGTTAACGACATTCATTTCAAAAAACCAAAACAAACAGACCAGCAAACAGACCCTTGAACCAACATTTTAAGATATTTTGGTGGTCCCCCTTCCCTCTACTACTTCAGGCCAGCTTTTGGTTTTTGAAACCGTTGTCAGAACTTGTTTGTGACATGTTGTTGTGCATTTTTGAAGCCAAAGATTTCAAAAGTTACCAGCCACAAAAAGCAGCGGCAACAACAACAAGGACACAAGTCAACAAACCAAATTGAAGAAATTGCCAAAAATTAGTTGGCCAACTGCCGGGATGACTGGCATTTTAAGGCGGGTGTGGCAATGCGACAATTAGTGGGTGTGGTTGTCTCGGACTATACTCTAACTCTCCTCGTTATTTCGCCACTTATGCAAAATTAAAATATTCCTCTGTCTCGCACAAAAACACATAAATTTATGCTGAATATTGTTGACTTGTTTTTGTCGAAGGTAGAAACTTAAGTGGAATTATTGTTTACCGTGCTCTTAAGAACTTTAAATGAAGTCTGCATAACAATTATGAAATTAATTAAAGTGCAGTGTGCTATAAAGTGTTTGGGAAAAGAAGGTTCATAAGCATGTCAGAGTTGGACGTTTGTTAATCATTTTAGTCAACTGTCGAAAAAACTTAGAGTAATGCTATACCTTTTCGCTAGACTGTGCTTAAAGAATAAATAATAGTGTGCGGAAAGGGTTTGAATATTGCTAAGAGTACAAGTACTGGGTATTAGTAGAATAAAAATTCTAGGCGGATTACACTTTTTTGTACTTCATAATATCTAGGACATATCATACTTGGAATTTTGTATGAATCTTTATGAAAAAGAAGATCTGCCAAGCACTTTTGCAGCAGTTTTGTGGTTATCGATATACTCGGCTATTTCAATGTATCCAGATCTCTTATCAATAATAAAAAGTAACAATATTTATTATAATAACAAAAATGCTTGGGGAATGGTTTTCAAGTGAAGATATACAGATAAAAAATAAGTATGTGCAACATATTATCAATTTAAATTAATTAATATGGAGCTGAAGCAAAAGGGTGGCAAAAATAGTATATTTTAAAATAAAAGAAATGAAAGCTTTGGAGTGAATTGAACCTACTTCAGCTCTATTACATATAATCGCCATTTACAACAAGTTCTTAATACAAATCGATCTATCAACTATTTGAATACCTCCAAAAATGAACTTCAATTTATGATTTTATATTTGATTCAAGTTCATTCTAACTTAGCTACCTATTGACTCAGTTTTTCCTTAGTTTTGAAACAAAATGACTTCTTTTTTCGAGTGTACATAATCTTACGTATAATACCTAAAAGTACATATGAATGTAGTCGTAATAGAACCCTTCGATATTAATCCCGTAGAATAATGCCTCTAGAAACAAGTTAGTCTACGAAAGCATGAACACTGAAAGGCACCAATAATGTTTGCTTTAGTCTATAAATTCGTAACAATACTTCATTAAATAATGAATGAAACACTAAAACATTGTGATATATTGAGCCATTTAGCACTAATTTGTTCAATTTTAAATGATTTTATATTTTGATCAAAGGAATTCTTTAAGAAATAAACTGTATGTTGCAGAACGTAGTTATATTCAAAGACTTATGTCAAGTCAGCAGAAATAATAATAAATATCTAATAGAAGCAATACTGCAACTTTTAAATTAATTATTAAGGGACATTTAATTTAACTCACGATTTATGTATATATATATAAATAGTTTTACTTTGCCGTTGAATGATTAAATTGGAATATTCCATTTGGAATATTATGTATAGATTAAAGCTTCAAACCTTATTACAATTCTGGTAGTCAATAAGGAAACTGGTTACCCCAGATGAGATCCCTAATTGGCAACCTTAATATTAGCAAATATTTCTAATTTGCAGTCAAATTATTCTACTATTCAAAAGAATAGCAAATGATGAATTACTCTGATTAAATTGTGTTCAAAATTGTCACGAAAACAGTGCCAAATGCTTTATAATAGCCGTCATAGAAATTATAAAAAATGCACACGGCATTAAGAAGACGAAAAGGATACCCTTGTTCTCAATGTCGCCCATCAAGCAGCACTCAGATATGAGAGGATTTGAGTGTCCTTAGAATAACAAATGTTCACCATTTACTTGACTTTTTGCCATGACAATGACTTATTGGCAGTTTAGATCAGACTGTTGGAAAATGAAATGACAGCAACATCATTTGTTAAAAATATTTGTCTTTCACTTTGCGATGACTTTTGGAAATCAGGTAACGACCACTAAACAATAAAACGACGCAATCCACTATCTATTAAGAAAAAGGTAGCTGATGCTCATATGAGAAAAAGCAGCAGTCATTGTATTTAATTTATTTAACAAATTGCATTTTCAAAAAACTTGTTTATTTGTTTTTCGTATTTAGTTTCTTGTACTAACAATATTTACATAAAACTGCATAGAAAAGCAAAAAGTTCAATTTATTTTCTTTTCCTTTGGTTTTTTTTTGGGTTTTTTTTGGTTAAATTCAAACCGAGCAGAAGAGAAATAAACAACAAGAGAATAATACTGAAAAATGAATTTGTGAAATTTCATTTAAAGTATCACTTGACTTTTTTTGTCGAGTGCTCGTCAACGATTGCGACAGCAAGGAGTAAACAACTGGAGGAAGACAAACGAAATAAAGGATATGACAGCGGCAGAAGAAAAGGCAAAAGTAAAGGAAAAGGCAAAGGAAGGCCCCAACAGCCTTCAAAGATGGAACTGCAGACGTAGTGTGCAAAAAAAGTACGTTATAACAAATACAACTGCGAGCACAGAATCCAAACAAACTTTATCTCTATCTCGTTTGTGAGTTAAATCAAACACATGCACAGATACACACACACGCACACACAAACACACATTCACCCGCACACCCACACACACATTTCGAAAACATGTGCTCGCATACCAATGGGCTATGGGTAAGGCAGGTCCAGGGAAGGGCAGAGCGATAAAGAAACGGAATTACAACTTGCGTCTCGTGTTGCTGCCAAGGACGTTGGTCCTGCCAAAGGAATTGTTTGCGAATGTAAACAGCAGGAAGTTCGTGTTCTTGCTGCTGTTGTTGTTCACTACGCGAAAAGGACAACACGTCGAGCATTTAAAATGCAAATAAAAATAAAAATTGAGTGCAGCGCTGAGTTTTCAAGCACTTGAATTTGATGTTAATGAGCGAAGGTGGCGAAGGACACGCGCCATAAGTGACACAGTAAAAAAAATTGTGTGCTCTTTCCTTTTTTATGAACAACTTATAAATAAATTATTTGCATGCACACACATGCAAAAAATACGCTTGAGTAAAAGGACAAATGAAACATTCAGACTGTACAAATAATAAAGAAAAAGTAAAAAATAATTGTGATAGGGCGCTCACATGACTACGAAATGCCCTTTCTATGACTAAAAGGACATACATTTCTCTATTTTAAGCTAAAGAACACTTTTTGAGAATACTATAAACTATGAATTAAGCTTTAAAGGCAGACTTACTATATATTCGAGCGCACAAGAAAATTGTCAGAAATATAAATATTACAATTTTAAAAAATAATTTTTGACTGTAAGAACAAAAAACAGAAAACGAAACTCTGCAGCGTTTGGTGAATTCTCATCCTTTAAAACATTAAAAATATTATAAGCTTTCAACCAAGCTAGATTATATCGGACATAATGGCCACTTGCTAGATCAGTCCTAAATATTGTTGAGAAATTGTGCTTCTTATGTAATAAGAAAAGGCTTTTCTTTAGATACGCTTTCACGCAACTTTCTCCGTTAGTAAAAAAAAACATGCCAGATAAAAACCTAATCGCTAAATTTTTTAATTTAAATTTTTGTCTAAATCTGTAGAAAGGATAATGTTCTTGAACCAATTTGTTCTCAAACATCCATTTTTATGCACTTAACAAAATCCTCAAACCAACGACGAAATAGATTAAAAATTCTTTTTAGCAAATTCTTGATAAAATACATCCCTTTTAAGTTAAAGACATTCATAATGACGGAGGGACAGTCATACAAACAGGCGGTCAAAGAGCTTAACACAATTATCTGAACACTCATAGCTTAGTTAAGGAATACAATACGAGTGTTACATACATCTGCGCTATTCCTCAACACCCGTTTTCGCATTATGTATGGCGTCAAAAAAAAAGGTGAAGCAACACATGACGTAAATCTGGCACGCCCATTGACACATTACACATTCGCAAACACACATCCACACTTTCAAAAAAATGAAATTGCAATTGAAGCAGCAAAAGCTGATGGGAAACAGGAAAAGGAGCCGCATCAGCGACAGGAGTCAGTGTCGACCATTTTGGCGCTTATTTAATGGCATCAGAATGCAAACAAAAATTGCTCAAATTTTATTATCTTCCGCTTTACCAGCTGCAGGTGTGGTATTGTTATTATATATATGTGTGTGTCTGCGTTGTCTGTTTGTTGAAGCCCACGCAGGACGCATAAATTACAAGGAAAAAGAAAATATGAAGAAAACTGCGCACAGTGAATTAATAACAAGAGGCAGCGGCAACATTCAAAATGAAATGAGCCAGGCTGACACCAACAACAACAACAATGAGCAACAGCCCCAAAGCTAAGCTCAATTCAGAAGTGTCGCATACACTAGTCGTCAAAAGTATGCTGATAAATATGCCAGAAAACAGATAAATATTGCTTCACACCTCATTTATATATTAACTAAAACAAGTGTTTTCCGAAAGGGAGTCATTAAGTGAAAAAATTCTACATAAGTCGAAGGT